TCCCTCATGAGCCCTTGATAGTTTATAAATTATTATTTTGTCATATCTTGCCCTGTCCGAAGTCTCCCTTCACCCACTTTTCGGTTGTCTGTCCCGCAGGGAGGAGGTCACATATAGTTCCTTGCACCTGATTTTTACACTGAAATTATTCTATGGTATCTGCCCGTGGCACCCTCAGTGTGGGCCACGCTTTCATCATGGTGCCTCAGTAGTCTAAGTAATTGAATTCTGTGACAACAGTGAGTTGAAGGACATGGTGCAGTTAACCGAGGAGCAGCACAAAAGAGGTTGTACCTGGAGAAGAAAACAGCAGGCGCCAGGGCAGGTGGGAGTGTGCCTGGTAGGCTTTAAAGATAGTCACAACCCAGCTTGATCAAATACATTTTAATAAGGATAGAAAGTGTCGGAAAGGACTGTGATGGGGACTTAATGAGAAAATAATATCCAAATAGGCTGGAGTCAATAAATATGTACCGTGCTCCTAAGCAACTGTCCTCTATCAAGAGATCATTGTTTCCAATACAGTCACAATTTTTGTTGTACTTGACAAAAGTCCGCAAAAAGAAATGTGTATCTTAAGTACATTTAGCCACCAATAACCAAGAAATTGTAAAGAATAAGGCTGGCATTTGTCCTCACATAGCTCCCGGCCAAAGTAACTAGTCCAACGCATAGTAAACCTATCAGAGAGGAGACACCTGCCCTACAGGGCTCCCAGGATGTCCATCTTGACAGGAGCAGGCAGACTCTTCGTTCTCCCGTACATTTTGGGTGCGTTTGCACCACACACTTTGCGGTAGCTTCTGTTTAACCCACTGCAGCACCAGTGCTCCTCAGTCCACATATACCACCTACACAACTCCATTCATATATACTAAACTCATACAGAGGCTTTCTATAGTCAAGAGGAAAATACCATTATAGGAACACATAAAAGAATAACAAAACAAGATAAGTACCACAGGAATTGCTGAGGGAAGTTGATTCAGGACACAGAAAGCAATGCGGGGCACTGCAGAAAGCACTCACCGTTTAAAGGTGTGGGTCCCTGAACGGTCTCCCTGAATAGTTGAAAAATTGCGTGCTCAGCTATCTAAAAGAAAAAGGTGCTGGTTGGAGGTGGCAAACAAGGTACAAGGGCCTTGAAGAAAGGTGCACGGCCACCTTCTAAGAAGTCCGACAGATAAGGCCCTGAGAAGTCCCACAGGGAAAACCCTACGAACGTACTCTTACTCTGAAACACACAGGGTCGCAATACGGAATCAAGTGGGAGGATTATGGTTCCATATTCAGAAAGCTCAAAAAGAGCAAACCTAAATTCCAAAGTTTATGGGTCAAGATTTGCCACACATTGACAATACAAGGATTAAACAATAACATAGCACATGAACAATAGTTCCAGAAAGATTGTCTACAAAGTCCTATGAAAAGACCCTCATTTCACAGACCTTGTCTGATTTTAGAGGGTTTATAGATCTGAACTTTGGAAACCTCATCCTGGAATTCACATTTCTAGTCACTAGAGGAGCCTTGTGGCTCCTGTGTCCAGCTGCCAACTGCAAGGTCAGTCGTTGCCGCCCGTCCTGCAGGGTCGCTATTCGCTGGAATCACCTTGAAGACAGTGAGTTTGAGGTTGTTGAGAGCAAGTTTTGTGTAAGCAAAGAGACAGAACGCAAGTTCCCACTTGTGTAAAACTGGGAAAAAGTGCAGATACCTCTTGGAGTTTTGAAAGTTGCAAACAGGGTTGCTAATTGTACGGTCAGCAGTTTGAAACCACTGACCATTCTGAGGGGGGAAAAGATGAGCCTTTCTACTCCCATAAAGGGTTACAGTCTCAGAAACCCACAGGGGTAGTTCAACATGGTCCTATAGGATTGCGATGAATAGGAATTGACTGAGTTGGAATTGAAGGGTGAGTTCTTGTGTCCTGTTTCAAAAAGTAGGAATTGATAGTGAGTTTTGACACTGAGTTTTTATGTCCTGTTACAAAAAGTCCCGGCAAATATGTTCTTTAATAGTGTAAATTCTAAGTTACCTTTTGTGTAAGAGAGGAGAAATAATAGAATGTGTTTGAACTTTCACTCTTACATCCATTCAAATAGATGTAGTGTATTAGAGAAATTGATGAGATTAAAATGAAAATGGCTCAGTAGAAACACAAGCTGCTCTAGAAATGCTCTGCGAATATGAACTGTAAACCCAAGAAATTAAACGCATCATCTTGGAGGATGAGTGCATCTAGGAGAAAAGGCCATCTTCATTACAGATTCCCATTCCACAGTGGTGAGCAGTTGAAAGCCCGATGATGTCATACCAGCTCTAGCAGAGAAGTACGGCTGGCCTAGTACGTACAACGGACAAGCAGGCTTCTCACACATTGGAAAGCATCCAGGAAATAGCATCCCTCCAAATCAGACAGATCTGGAAAGCCCGCACATGACTCCGCTGGACGCACTGTCCCACGTGCCACATCCATTGAAGAATTCATAGGAGGACCAAGTCGAGTCAAGACCCCATTGACAGTCAGCACCTTCTGCTACTAACTCCAATTCTCTTCCATTTTCTACATCACACAGTGGGAGAGGTTAGAACTGTGTTACAGAAATGGCTCCCACGTGGGGATAAGGGTGTGGAGGAGCAAGAAAATTATTTGCAGAAATGGGACAGGTGACTCTGGAGATCCTTGGGCTCAGGTTCCTGAAAAATGGAAATCCATGTTTAGACTCCTCACACAGTTCTGTCACTATACACAGAGAACCAAGAATCAGGATGGGGGTGGCAACTCCTTATGACGCCAGCTCTAGGGGCACATAAGAGTCACATAAAAAAGGTAACCGTAATGTGAGGCTTGTAAGCCCACTTATGCCCACAGGAAAGGTGCAGTACCCGTTGAGCTGGGACCCAGGATGACCTTTAGGGCTCAGACACTTGGCTTCCTCTGCCACCTTTTAAGCTTACTGAGCAACCTCAGGGCCAGCAGTAAACAGCACCCCACTACATCCGACCAGCCTCTACCTTTAGTTACCACACACCCATTCTCTCTGTAAGACTCACCATGGCAGCTCCACCTTCTGGAAGTTTTGTTGAATGGGCTCTCCGAGTTCAAGAA